AGCAGGACTGGACACATGCTTAATAGCTTTGCTGGATGGGGGCCAGCGTGTACAGCACCTTGCAGACTGCCACTCCAGGTAAATGAGAGAGGGAATATCTACAGGCAGTCAGCGGTCAGAAAGTGAGAAACAGAAACCACAAGCCACAAGGCTCGCTAGAAGCCTAAAGAGAACCGATTTTACTATAAATACGACAGGAAGGATTGAATTTGTGAGACGTATTGCCTCTGCTGCAGATGAAAAGAAGCTAAGAAAGAAACTTGCCGTAATTACTGATACAGGATTAACTGCTCCAAAAAGAAAAGAATAAAAGAAACAGAAAAATGTGCCTAACCCTATGAAGAAAATGAAAGAAATGGCAGAAACAGTCTTCAAAAATATGTCAGCCTGCCACCAACACATTGAATAATAAATTGTTGAATGGTATTGGATATTTCTGCAGAATTACCACTTTGAAACCCATCCTTTCAAGAAATAATTGGCCAAAATCTATGTTGATAAATTAAATATTCTGTCACCAGAAAAACCCACAACATCATGCAAAGAATATTAAGACTGCACGGTAAAGCGTTTAAGTCAAGGAATAACATTGTAAGTTCCTTGTGAATCTTCAATCCTTTCACACTCAGTTGTGTGTACCATAACACAGTTTTAATGAGATAACTTTATGTGGCCTGACACCCTAAGGGACACTAAACAGCATCTTATTCCACAGCAGTCTTCAATAGTCAGTAGAGACTGCTTACTGCCAGAAATACTGTGAAGAGAGAAAAGAAATGGAGTTCACACCCCTACAGTTTGCACAGGCAGCAAACAGCATTACTCTATGCATGATACCTAGATTTTCACTATCCGAGTCACTAACGTATCTTTATCTTGAATAACGTTGTGTGTTTAATTAATGTTTATAGATTTGTGACAGAATGTCTCTTCAAAGAGAGTGGAGCACACATGAAAAGTAAAAGATTTAAATCCATTAGCATACATTATTTGCTTTTAAATTACTTGGTACCCACTTGGCACAGAAATATAAATCTCACTCTAGAGTTTACATTCTTTCTCCTACTTGTCCTTCCAACGTAGCTTGGAAGAGCAGAAATGTTATGTGCACCTGTGGAGGAGAGTGGGTTTGCATGCAGCTTGCTATAGACTTCATTTTAAGGCGGGGAGCAGGTTGACTGGTTAGATACTGGAGGGAATGGTGCTGCAGTGTAACAAAGCTGGTCTCTTCAGCCCTAAGGAACTGCACCTTGCCTCAGGACTCTACTCGGAGGTCTAGGGCAGTTTAGGACTTGACTTTAACCTTAGAGCAGATCATGTAGCAGCACTGAATGAGTTCATAGACAGTCAGTTATGCTGCTACAGGACCGCAGATGGTGAATTTTTACCCACCACTATTTTTCATTTTAGAAGCCACTTCAACTGATCATCTCAATGCTCAAATTTATATATGGATACTGCTGAAGTGGTATATTTTACTTAAGATCTATATTAAGCCATATCAGTTATTTGACCTCAGAAGCATCTTAAACGTTTGAAAAGCATCAGCACAGGGAAAATATAAATGTGTGCCAGGTTCTCAGCCAAAAAGAATTTGAAGAGACCTGAAGGGTCCAAGTTCTCACCTCCTGCTTATACTGTGACTGGCCTAAGCAAACCCGGTTGCCACGAGCCACATCAGGTTCCCAGGAGAGCAGCTCCATTTGTTCACGCTTCCTAAGATGTATGCAACATCTCACATGAGGCCCATTAATAGGAAAACTGCCCTCTGCAGTGAGTGCCAGAGTGACAGGAAAGGGACGTCCCCTCTTCTGAGGATGCAAGCATCACTCTTGCAGCCCGCTGGCACAGCAGAACAGGGAGTGCCAAGGTACAGGCTCTGTATTCTACCGCTTCTGGCTGTCAAAAGTTCACACGTATAAAATTTTACAAACTAGAGTCTGTCATTTAAAATTTTATACCTAGGTGTCTGTGACTCATATTTTCCCCACTAGCTTCCAGGATGGAGAAGGAAACGCTGAGAAGGTGTAATGCTAATGACTTGGCGCTCTCTTCTGCAGTTCTGTTCAAAGATCTGCCCCTACATGAGGTGCTATTTAGAGCTCCCTCTTCTGAAAGTTTGAGCCATTAAAACAAAATAATTTGTCAGTGACAGAAATCTGAGAAACAAAGGCTGACTTTAGCTCATGGTTTCAAGTAATGCTAATTTTTGAAGCAATTAAGTAAAGTTACATTACACCACTCTTTTGGTTCACTTCAGACTTTCAAATACAAAATACTCAGACTGCAACCTTTGAGAAAGCACCATGGCTTGATTGAAATCATTTGCTTTGCTTTGTCTGATTTACATTTTCAACCAAGTATTAAGCCTCATATGCAATGAGAAATGGAAGTAGAACAACCTCCTGTGGCTTGCCTTAACAATATGTATGCTTTTGAAATAGTAACATAGTCATCTCACCACTCTCTAAAGCTATTAAATATATGTGAAAGAGATGTTTCAGTGTAGATACTTGGGACAGAGAAAGTTAAAGGGAGGAGGTGAAAAGGAGCACAGTCTTCAGAGTAAGGACAGAGGCGGGAAGCCCATATGCAGGGTAGCCGTAGCACACCTGGGGAACACCAGCCTAAATTAATATGCCAGAAGATCCCTTCTTTACAATCTGCACGCCTCACTGCCATGCACACACTTCCAAGAAACACTGAAAAAGATAATGGTGGAGAAAAAAAAAGAGAAAAAAGCTCTGATCTTTTAAAAAACTCACAGGAGGACAGCTGCTGACTGGAACGCACTGTTTCTTGCGACACTCTGTCTTGCCTTTCACACAAGCACAGATGGTGCAGTTCACAGAGGACCACATCTCTCCATCCTGCAAGAGGGAGCATGATATAGTATCAGCTGGGGTGGCAACAGGAAGCTATTTCAGCAATGTATCATTGCACAAGAAAGAATGACTTTCCCTGTTGGCATTGTGTCATTGTTTAGTCTAAATTATTTTGAGGTGTCTGTCCGTGGCCAGTCGGATTAAAGACAAAGATCAAATTCAGCAGGGTTTTCTTCCCTTTGGCCCTCTAGGTCAGAAATTCTTTTTTCCAACGCTAACCACATCACATTTGCATTTTTCATCAGCATCCTGATTATTTGCATTGTTTTCTCTCCAGTATGTGTCTGAGATGTGATCACACCTACCACAAATTTTCATTTAAGCTCACATAATTAGAAAAACCTGATTCATTGGGTTGAGTGACATTTTTAAGTTGTTGCACGTGAAAGTATTTGATTAAGATGTCAGCATATAGTGAATTTATTCCCAGATGCAGCATCATTTTGACTTGGGGCAGGAATGGTCGAATAATGAATTCTAATTTAGATTACTTACAGCACTTTCACAGATACTTGATCTGCTAAACATCTGAAAATGTTTAGAAGAGATACAGTGTTGAACTTCTCAAATGCAAAGCAGGTAAGACAGTCTACATATGGCTCCCAAAGTATTAGGCGCAGAGCAAAATATGCCTCATGGTATTGTCCCCACTTACTTGGGAAGGACTGATGTGGAACTACCCTGGCTCCCTTTTACATAGTGTTGCATTTGCCAAGTGTGGTTCCTAAAACATTCTGTCTCACCCACTTACAGTCTTGCGCTAGCCCACTTAGAAACAAAGTGTGCATGTTTTGTGCTTACAGGGCTGCTGTGAAGGAAGAGTGAGGATAGACCTGACAGGAACAGGCAGACCAACCAGACAGCTGTGAACAATTACATGCCCACCTTAACATGACGTTCGGATCAGAGAGAAAAACAGACTAAATCTGAAATGCCAAGGAGCCTAACTTACTCAGCGCAGCACAGAATCATCAAATCATAGTATGGTTAGAGTTGGAAGGGACCTGAAAGATCATCTAGTTCCCCCCCCCCTGCCACGGGCAGGGACACCTTCCACTAGACCAGGTTGCTCAAAGCCCCATCCAACCTGGCCTGGAACACTTCCAGGGATGGGGCATCCACAACTTCTCTGGGCAACCTGTCTGACAACCCTCACAGTAAAGAATTTGGTTAAAGGCTGTCTCTCCTCTATCTTTTGTTTCCAGGCCATGTCAAAATTGCCTCGTGTTCCTGATGCAGCACATGTTCTTGTGGGCCTGTAATGATCACTCTCCAGGCATCCTCTAAGGTACTAGAATAAATCACAGCTGACTGCATGCACCTACCATGATTTTTTTGTCTCACACCGAGTTTTGCACAGGAGTGCAAAGACGTTTGCTGTGCACATTCTATCTGTGTTAGACCACTAACTTCAACACAGCGACAGTGGATTTACTTTTTTGCACATGAGGCCAGAAAAGGGTGTACTGTCTCATTATTTTTTCTTACTCCATATAATACTTAGTAATATAATAAAATCTTCACAAGAAGCAGAATATTTTAGTTGGGTGCCTAAGAAGCAGGCATTTGTTCCTGAAGCACAATAGCACCAGTGTGAAAGTGCCAATCAGATGGAGTATAGTCTCAGCGTACAGTAGGTTCACATGTAATTTCCAGAATAAACACTTCAGCTATGTACACAAAAGATGGAATAAATGGGAAGTGATTCTGTCTGAGCAAACCAAGTATTCACAAAGGATTTAACATTTGATCTGATTCAAAGGTCTTCTAATTCACAGATGGCCCATGAGGTGACACAGTCTTTTTCTGACACAGTGTGAAAAAAACCCCACCACTTGGAAAAACAAACAGGGTCTCAGCAATAGCAGAAGTGTTCTGCAGGGAATCCCTTGTGATTTGAAAACATTGGGTGAGAGTGCAGTAGGTAACAGTTATTAACATGGCTATCCCAATATAGGATGTCAGAGGTGCTGTCCTTAGCAGAGACGTGAAATGTAGTAAATCAAGATGAGTAACTTTCAGCCAAGATGAACTTCACACAGCTCCTGTTGAGTCAGCTATGGAAGAGACTTTTTGGCTCACTAGATAAAGCCTACATACCACTCAGAATATCTTCTCCATGAATATCAGGGTTTGTTTAGGAAAGCAGAGCATTACAATCTCTTACTAAAAATGCATTACGTATCATGAAACAGCAGCTTGAATCTCCATACTGAGAGCAAGACAACATGTCACATCAAGGAGGAACTGATCTTTAACTGCTGTGTATCAGCAGAATTTACATGAACTCAGAAAAAAAAAAAATAATAAGATGGCAAATTTTGCAAAGCTTTGTCTCTGAGTTGTTCCATCATCAACCAGGATGGTGAGAATTCTGCTAAAAAACAAGCCACAGTACTAATTTAAAGTAAACTCATGCTGTTTCAGCTGTTACAATGGCATCTATTATTGAGCCACACCTGAAACTTTACCTGGAAGATCTTATTGCCAAACTTGCACACTTTCACTTCCTCAGGAGTGATATACGAGACACACTCTTTACAGCAGTGGTCTTTGTTTTTGTTGCATTCACCAGGAAGTAAGCATCTCTTCTTACATATCACTGTTGAATCCTAGGTAAAAGGACAAAAGGAAATCATGAAATCATCACCAAGATGTTTGTGCTCCTGTGTGTCCTTACCATAACATTTCTGCTTGCTCAGTCATTGCATCCACTCAAGCTGCAGCCGAACTGCTTTGAATAGGTCAAATAATAAAAATTATTTACTGGATTAAGAGAATCTTTCATGGCCTGTGAAGCTAAAGCCCAGCTTGTACTTCTGTTGGCCTGCAAAATCTTACTGATTTGGCAACCCTTTCATTTTTTTGCCTAGGTGCAAAAGTGCAAATAGTCACAGTCATGCTAGAGGCACTAAAAAAAATCTCTGCTCTTCGGCAGTGATGTTGTAATTAACCACTTAGAAACTCCTCTTCCACTGTAATGCAGACTTAAAAAGGATCACATCATCTGCGTAACTTCATTTTGCATCACAGTGAGTCAGGCATCATGTCTCAGCTGAGGCAGTCCGTAACTTTTTAAACTTTCCTAGCACAACTGTAAGTGCTCTTCAGATCAGATTCTCGGGGACCACACAAGATGCCAAAGAACAGTATCAAGGCTTACAGTTCCACAGCCCTACAAGTAACTTCTAAGCCAGACAACCATCAGCACACAATACCAAAGCACTGTGGACTTACCTTGCACGTACACATTGTGCAGTTATCATAAATAAATGAGGATCCATTATCGTACACGTTGCTGTGAAAGAGGCAGCTTCCAAATGGGAGGTCAAACACTTTCCTCTGTCCTGAATATAAATAAACAGTAATAGAAACAGAATGTGGTTGAAAAGATGCCATATTGTCAACAAAAATAGTAGGGCTTATTGTCACCAGACCAAATTCATGTGCAATGTGTCATTTGCTGTGTGTTTCCATTTTGGTGTGAAAAAAATATGTACTTTTAACAGTTCACTGTTCTTCTAGCACACATTCATCTGTACAAATTCTACCGTGGGAGGGAATATAAATATGATTTATGGCATGTTTATATTGGAAAAATCTTTCTTCTCCTTCTCATCATAAAGTGCACAGTGCAGCTAAAGGAATAAAAAGTAAGCACTGCAAACTCTTAGGGTAGGTACACTTAAACTAGTTTAAACAGTCTTTAACTTAATGCAATAACTTATCAAATAAAGCAGCCTTAACTGGTTTTAGCGTATCTACCTCAGGGGTTCACAGCAGCCAAACTAAATCAAGTCAGTGACACTGATGCAAAAAAACCCAACATAGGTGTTGTCCAGTCTCATTAAGATAGCTTGGTGTGCCATGTTCACATGATGTTGCAAGAAATACAGGCATTTGCATTGTTTATAAGCAGAACGAGGACAACAAAAGATATTTAGTTTCCATAACCCATAAAATATATGGGTTTCATGAAAGTGAGGCAAGGTTTAGACCACTATACAGGGAAGGCATCATCAATATCAAATCCTTCCTGAAGTCCTGCAATTGTGCAAGGACTTTCAGATCCAAGTTGCAACACACTTTGCAGTTCTGTAAGCTTCTTTTATTCCTTAGCTTCTATCCTAGTAGGTTATTTTAAACAAGTGACCATTATGATACATAACCATGAGCTCTTTACAAATACTCACATGAAATCACTATATTTCCTGGTATTGAATACCTTCCCCTGTTTACTTTTGGTGGCAGCCAACTAATAAGTTCTTTTATGAGTGGCTGCCAGTCTCCTGGCTTATCATTTCTGAGGTCTGATGTTAAATAGGCATCAATTCCAATGTACGGAATGGTCACTATAAGTACATACAAGAAGTCACTAAGTATTAGGCCAATACTTTAGCTCTCAAACCACCTGGTCTTGGTACACTGTAATTCCTTCCCTTTTCAATATTTTTTTATAAATGTAGAACAGCTTGAAAGAAAAAGGTTCCATTTTCCTTTGAGATATAAGTGAACAAAAGGATAAGCACATGGCAAAATCCATTGGATTTGTCGTGAGCTTTTACAAATCTAATGTTAAAATAAGTGTTAAATATAAGTTAAGAAATAATTGCTATTGTTCAGCTAGACACTATTTGAACATCTCTGTCTTGCAAATTAGCTACCTTGGACTAATCTGTGCTTGCATAACTAGCCTTAATTTTACTGAATATACATCTTTCTTGAAAGGCTTAATTTCTCTTGCAGGACTGACATAAGAAATCAGTTGAGGATGCTCAGTAGCCCTAAAAGGGACTGCTCTATATCCATGCACCACTTATGGGCAAAGCCTAGCTATAGTCCCGCCTGTAACGACACTTCTACTGCCCTATGTGGGGCCAGGACTTCAATTGCATAACTTATGTCAACAAGTGAACAAAAGTCCAGTTCTCTCTCACACCCTCTTGCCATGCCTTGCAAACCACCCAGTGCAATTCCGGGTGGCCAACCCAGTTCAAATAGCTGGTAAAAAACCACTAACAAAGGAGCTACCACTTTAAAAGATTGTGGTGGTGAAGATATTGGCTTAATGGTTGGCTTTCCTGGCTCACAACCACTAGTTAAACTAATAATTCAAGTCCCAGTAGAGGCCACTGCATTCTTCTAAGCTATATACACTGAGTATCAGGAATTCAATTGCAGGGAGGTCCTCCACATGATACTTTAAAAAACATGCATTAGCATCCCTGAAAACATTTCTCTTTCCCAGCTGCCATGCAGTGGATTACACATCCTTTGGCTCTACCTCCGCTCCAAAAACTTCAACACTGCCCTGCAAATAGGCATTATCTATTCACAGCTATATGACATGGTTTAGAGCAAAGACCACATAAAAGGAAAATCATTATTAATAGTGAACTCATTTACAGACATTTCTAGGAGTGGAAAAAAGACTCTAAAAAAATCTCCACAAAGTAGTCAAAAATTAAAGCTGGGTTTTGAATGCCTAGATCAAGGTGGGGAAGGATCAGTTGGGAAAAGCATGGGGTGGAGAGGACAAGGGGCTTTTACAGAAGGAAAGGAGAAATGTCCTCAGCCAAAATAGAAGTTCAGCATTTGGACTGTTCTCCTCTCCATTCCATTCCTCTACTGTATTACTCTCTGGTGCTACGGTTAAATGTTTGAGGCAGATATTTATCTGTAGCACTTCTCAATTATCAAATAAATAAATAAATTCAGGTTTCTTTCAAGCAGTCAAACATGTTATGTAGTATGAGAAGTTGGAACTCTCTTTGGCTTGCTGCCTCCAAGGTCAGACCCATCTGTACTCTGAACCTAGCCCTGGAAACAGACTTTGGATAGTAGTAAAGATAAGGTCAACATAACAAAAAGTTTCTGCTGAAGAACTGGGAATTATCAGCTCTAAAAATTTTCCGAACCTAGTTATAAACTCATAGACCAAATAAAAGCCAATTTACTTGGTAGGATGTAAGCACTCCTTGTTTATGAAATAGAGGGATACGTACTGAGAAATGTTAACCTGTGGGATCTGTGGACATGGCAAAAGCGAAATAAGGACTCTCAAAAGTCACTGCCTTGCTTGGCATGACTTCGAAGAACTAGCCCTTCATAGAGGCCTCTGACTTACTCCTTTAAAATGTGTTGGAAAGACGTAATTGAAAATATTGCTGGCTGAAACTGTGATTCCACCTTAAGAAGGCAACCATGAGCCAGACTCCTGGGTCACTAGCTTCTCTGACAACAGCTTCTAAGGATGCAATTTCAGTCCCAAAGCTTCCTCTGACCTGCATTTCCTCAAAACCAAGAATGCAAATGTACACTTGAATATGAGAGGGTGAGGCCTTTTTCTTGTGGCAAATTCCAACGAAACATTTCCTTCCACCTCAACCTCCTTTGTAAAACGTGTGTAATGAAGGTGGGGAACATCTCTACCTTTGTCTCTAAACAATCCAACTGATCTATGCTCTTCTGTGGCTGCTTGCTTAGTACCACCCATCACAACCCTACACACTGACCCCAAGTACTTGTTTAAACCTGTAGATTATAAATTCCACTGAGCAGTACTCTCTCTTCCACCTCCCAGAATTTACCATTATTGTGAAATACTGGTATAAAAGATGCTATGCAGAAACATATCATAGTAATTACAAAATTCCCAGGAAAAAAACCCACTCACCTAAGCATTTGGGACAACACTGTCCAGCGGGAATGTGACTGAGGTGCTGAGGAAAGCAGGAATGTGACTGAGGTGCTGAGGACATGAGAGAATGGGGCAGACTTCTTGGATGCACTGTGTCCTGCCACCCTGAAGGAAAATAGGCTCAGTTAGAAAAAAAAATAAAACAAAATGTCAAGAAGACATGCACACACCCACACAGACTGGTAACAAGTCTTAAATAGCCTTAGCCAAAGCAGTATTTGCGAACAGAGATTTCTGCTTGCATCAGGCATACAAGGAATGTGTGCAACTGTCCTTCAACACTTTCTATATTGCTTGCAGAGACCTTGGATTATTCATATTTTTTCATTTTCTCAAGCAATGAATGTAGTAGTTGAAGACACAGTGTCTTTCTATCTTATTTCTTGGTGTGGATATGAGAAAACCAGGGAGAATACGATTATCATCTATGAATCTTTCCGGATATTCAAAAAAGTTATTGAGCAATTTTTTACATTATTCTTCACCTCCGGTGCCGTGCCCTTCTAGGCTTGTCTGGGACAGGGATTAAGCACTGAAGCAAGATGAAAGCAGGTGTTCTTCCACTACATCCATGATCTCAGAGGCCATATAAGCCAAAATCACTTAAGAAAGCACATTCTTGTTAGCCTCCGAGTCCAACTATGTAAGCCCGGAAGATCTGCTTTCTACAGAGGACTGAAAACCAAGCGGGTATATGAAATTTTGAGAGTGAATGTGGAAAAAAAAAAAAAAAAAAGAAAAAAAGAAGCAACCTGGACTGGATATATGCCGGTCTATCAAGGAATATCAAAACCAGAGAGAGGCAAAAAGCACAACAAAGACAAAAGCACAGAATATATGCCTAAAATTAAGTCAGTCAAAAGAGATCCTTGTTCTCATTCTGCTCTGTTGCCTGATTACTTCACCGTGTTTAGTCTGCACCCTCTACCAACGTGTGCTCCATATGCTCATGAGAAGTCCAGGTTGTTAAACTTTAAAAATCGGTCCACCTTTGTCTGAGCAAGAGAAGTCAGCCCTTTTCATCTAATTTCCCTGCCTTATTTATCACTCGGAGCTGCAGACTCACCCCAACAATAAACTTTGTGTTCCTGGATGCAGTGATGGGAGACTTATGAACAGCCTCCTCCCACCTACATGCTGTATGCCTCTTGGGGCTTGCTGGAGAAAGATGGAAAAAGTTGCTTATCCTGAAGAGCTCTGTGCCTGAAATGATGGTATGCCATTCCGCTCCTAATGGCCTCAGAGAATCATGTAAAAAGCTTTTACATACAGGTAGACATACATATACACTATTATACAGAAAATAACCCACTGACTGCACCCCCATTCTATAATAAGTTTTCAGGCACTGAAGTCTACCTGTCCCAGGGGGCCACCAAAGCATCCTAAATGCACAGGGCTAAGGACTGCTCGTAATTCTTTCACTGTGGCATGCAGGAACACAGAGTTTATTGTAGGCTGAAGTGACTGCTCTAAATTAAGGGTCAGACCAGAAACTTGACAAAACAAAATGAGTTCTTCACTGATGTTCCTTATGATGCTCAGGGAATAGCTCTGTGAGAAGAGACACAGGTGCAGAATGAAGGAGAAAATACCAAAGAAGGGCTTTCTGAAGCAGTGCTGTCATTCAGCCCAGGGAAAAGGGCTACGAGAAGACAAAGTTCAAACTGTGGTGACAATTCACCAAATGAGAAAGTAGGGCATGGAGACCTCAGCCAGTCTGGTGACAGGATCAGGGATACATCCATGGAAGATAAAGCAATGCTCCAACACATGGTGCGCACAGGTCCTTTCTTGATACCTTGCTTCTGCATTTAGTCCTCACGTAGCCTCTCTGAACTGTCTTGCTTCTCTGACAGATTGAATCAAAGCTCAGGCTTAGCACATTACTGAGACATTGCCTTTGCAGCCTGTTGTATATACATTTTTTAAAATGGAAAATGCCATGGATAATATGAAATATTTCTTCATTTCAGCCTTTTTTTACCTTTTGTACTGGCCCCTCCTCTGCACAAAACTAAGTCCGATTGCATCTCTCTCTTTACCCCACTGCTACTCCTGCTTCCAGCTGTAATGCTGCTTTTTAACATCAAACTGTCTTCTAACTTGCTGCTGTCCCAGATAGGGTCTTCCAGGCTTGAATACCATAGAATCTTCTAGGTTGGAAGGGACCTGTAAGATCATCAAGTCCAACCACCAACCTACCACCACCAAAAACTACCCTTACACCATGTCCCTAAGCACCACGTCTATTATGCAAGATCGCACATTCAAAAACAGTCTGAAACAAATCAACCTGTACCATTTAAAGTAAGCATAATTCTACTTGCCCTACACAGCTTACATAGCTCATTAGGCACTATAAGGAAATGTCAAAACCTACACAATATTTCTATTTTCTTAAAAGCCTCAATCATCATGATTCAAAACTTACAAAGCATTCAGAATACCAGCTTTCAAAGCAGGATTAGCTAGTGCTGCCAGTGCTTTAAATTGCTCGGAATAGAACCGCGTATAAAAAAACAGTGCAACAAAAGTTCAACAAAAAAATCAAGGGAAAAAATAACTCTGGGGAGCAAAAAGATCGGCTCTGGATGGCCTAAGCCAGGGTGGGAACTGCACAGTAAACACCTTGCCTTCTCCACCTCCCAATTACGTCCACAGCTTTTAGCTCACATTTCCTTGTTGAGCATAACATCTCCCAGGCAGCCAGAATATTCCAGGTCCAAAGCAACACCTTCCAGTAAAACCAAACCTGAACTGGAAGCCAGCACAGACCAATAAAGTAGAAGTGACATTTGCTTCCTGTGAGAAATGCTATTCAAGAGCTAGGAAAATAAATCCTTGAGTGATAGTTACATGAAGCCTTAATCAGGGGATGCTGCTGCAGTCCACAATCCTCTGGAGGTAACAGATTTTGTAAGAAACCTACAGCCTACAATAATAAGGGTCACTTTCCACCTCGGAGACAAACAAAAACACTATAACTTCTGCTGCCACCTCTTATTTGCAAAAAAAAAAAAGCAAGAGGCTCCCTGGTATCAGCTCAAAGGCAGTACGGACTGAGGTATCATCTCTTCTCAGCAGCTTTCTCAAGAGACAGAAGAGAGGGGAAGATGAAATAGCACTTTCTAACTCTCCCATCTTTGAAAAAGACAGACAACGAGTTTTTCCTAAAAATGAATGCATGGAGCTAGTCGAGCAACCCATCCATCCACTTCTGCTAAGCTCCTACCTCAACTATGATACTTCAGTGTTCAATAAGGACACAAGAAACTTGACAGAGTTGAGAGATGCACCCATCCAGGCTGCAGCTGACTTTGCTGGAGACACTGGAAGAAGGCTAGAGTGTAGTTTCTAGGCAGGCTACCCGGATGCCTGGTGCGCAGCATGTATGCAGCCTATGTGCTAGGGTAGACAGAGAGAAAAATGTCTGCAGAAAAAACTGCCTGTCCAAAAACTCCTCAAAGGCTGGGAGCCTGCTGCAATTAATCTCCAAGAGCCTTGGGCCTCATCTACCATGAGGGCGAGAACAGTGACTGCCAACAGCAGAGCTGCCCTTGTCATAAGCACATTTTGAAAGTACTCATGAAATCTCAGGAGGACAGAGCTTTCCATACTCCCAATTTGTTTGCTACTGATAACGAGCATGTCTAAACTTAATAATATTTTATATACATGTTATTTAATGTTAAAGGTTAACTTCAGTATTATCAAGAACCATGTTTCTCGTGGGCATCGCATTTTCCATTTCACTTTCAGGCTTTATCTCTGTGCTTTAGTGAAGCTATAAATCATCCAAATAAGATTCCTCACTAGTTTTGCCCTGTGTTCACCTTGTGCTTGAAAGACTCTGCTAATCCTCCAACAGAAGTAAAATTTCCCTTGATTTTGCAAAATATTTTGGCTAAGTGCTGGCATTAGGATTCACCCCACAGTGGATTGTAGGTATTTATTTTTAACTTCCATTCTAGAAGAAGCGTGAAAGGTTTCATTTGCTGCCAGTGTGGCTATCCTCGGGGGGGGGGGGGGGGAGGGGATTATAAAGAAATACCAAATTACATTTCTTTCAACTGAAGGATACGTATTCCAGACATTTAGAGCAAGGTCAGAAGCATACTGTAGCCTCAGCAGGGGTTGCTGTAAGAACTAAGACAGATGTTCAAGGTTGTCTCCAGCTATGAATAAAGAATTTATGCCACCAGCATGAAAAATACCTTTGAAAGTTCAACAGGGTCACTACTGAGCAAGTCTGCCCCATGCCAGTGGCAAAAGAAGCCAAATAAACATACAACTGTATGACTGTTTGTCTTCAACCACTCTAGCACAGTGCAGGTGACTACAGCCACCATCAACATATTAAGAGATATTATCTGGTTTTGTGACAGCAATGGCATAAAGGCAATGAATAGTAATCTGCTGATGTAGACATATCATTTGAGATTCAGATAATGATAAGTATTACCATTCTGAAAAAAAAAAAAAAAGATTAAGGCATATCAGGACTCCTATTTTAATACACCACATTCGCTGATGTGCATAAGGCTTCTTACATAAATTGGATAGTGTATTGGCTTGCATACACTTGTTGCTCACCAGGAGCTCTGTCTGACGTATTAACTACCGTGTGATAGTAAAGACTTCCACTACCTCCCAATGTGTAGTAAATACATAAAACAAGCCAGCAACATGTACTGTGCAAACATCTTCAAGATGCCCATGGAATCACATGCTTGTAAACCCATACCTTGGGTTTACAATCAGATATACAGTCCCTGATGTGTCACGTAAGTAGACTTCAGGCACAAAAGTGAGAGGATACTGTATTCAGAGCGTGGTTTTAATTTGGAAATAAAATAGGGGTTTTCTCCCAAATCAGATGAAAGACACTCCGGTTCTTATAAGAATGCTGGCACAGTATGTTGCAGACAGCCTCTGGAAGTAACTTCACCCTTACACGGTATTTCAGGGTCCCTGAAACAACCGTGTTGTGCCCAGTGAGAGCTCCCTGGAAGGGTCATGGGAGGGAGAAAGTTTTTAGGAAATGCACAAAGTAGCAACACAGTTCTCAGCATAAAAGCAAACAGCACATCAATCAAGTCAGC